TTGGTTTGTCTCTTCTCAGTGTTTTTGCTTCTAGCAGCCACTTTTCTTCAGCTGCTACCTGTAGGGTTGTGTTCTCTCAGGCTCCAGTTCCACGTATCCAACTACTTATTACCGGGCCTTTCTGTTTGGTTAGCACATTAGCAGATGTATAGAGAGGGGAAGCCTAGGAGAATGTCTTATGTGGCAAAACTCAAACAGCACATGGAAATCTTTGAGAATAAAACTTTTCTTTGGAAAACAGTTTTAAATGTGTTTATTTTTTTAGGCCATTATTATCAGATAGCAGAAGTGCTGAGAAAAAAGTCTAGATGCTGTCTGCCTTTCGGCATCCACATTCAGCTGAAGAAATTGAGGTCTCAGGATTAGGGTTAAGTAGTTTTGGCCACAGTCACAAAGCAGAAATCAAACTAGAACTCCTCTGCCTTTCCAGAGGCTGGTTTTGGTTCCTGAGGCCACCCAACCCAGCTGAGGCTCTTGTTCTTGCCATAGTATACAGGCTCTGACTCTAGCTCTGCCCTCTCTTCCCAAACCTTCCACCAAATGCACCCTCTCTGTACAGTCTCACAGCCTGGAGCATGTCACTCCCCTGCCCAGAAATACACAGTGGCTTTCTCCTAAGGCCATGGGACTAAATCTGAGCTCACAGATCTGCAGGATCTCAACCAGAGAGCCTGTAAACTCTCTCTCCAACCTACCTTTGCAGCTCTGTCCAACCTTCCACCCTTATTGAACTCTCACACAAGTTTATTTACTGCTTCTAAAAAAGGATCTTCATTCACTCTTGAGTTCTGACTGTTCTCTACAAATCCCATTTGTTGCTCAAAAGCAAACACATAGGCTCCATCTCCATTAAGGCCTTTCCCAACCACTTCACCGTAAATGATTTCTCCCCGCTGTGAGTTAGGAGAGCAATTAGTGACTACAGAATTCATAGTAACAACCCAGTATCTTCTTTCTTCTTAATGGTTATTGTTGTTTAATTACTGAAGTGACTGTCTTTTCTCCCACCTAGATTGTAAACTGAGAAGAGAAGCTATGGCCTGTATCCCACTGTATCTACTCCAAGTCTACGTCTCTTATCCTTATAATGATTTATTTTTGTGGTAATTTTATAGCACACATAGAAAAACACTGCTAGTAGTTTCTTTCTTGGCTTACCCGTTTGTAGTTAGTCGTACAATATTGCTTCCTTTACGTTCTTATTCCAGT